TTGTGCAGACACTGATTTCATAAATAATAAAAAGTGCAAGTGAAAAATTTGGCAGGAGAAGAAGATATTTAGGACCACTGATTCTTGTAAGAGCACCATGAATTTCCAAAATGTAATCAAGTTTGAACTGTGACTCTATTCTTTATTATCGAAACTTGCAGTACACTCCACTGCAGTTTTGACAGCAATTATGAGTATGATTTATAAGCTTCCTGTTAGGAACCAGATCTGTTTGCACAAGAATCTTGATCATAAACATTACAAAGAACAGTAAGTCCACAGTTTTTCAGGGACGTCAGGACCTTACTATTTCATTTTCATAGAAAGTTTTTGGTTTGGTTTGGGTTTTTTTGTTTTCATTTAAGGGTGTTGGTGGTCTTTTTCAAGAAGCAGAAACATTTGCAGTGAAAGATGAAGACAGAGAACACTGAAATAACCTTCCCATTTGGTGGACATTCTGAAGGTATCAGATAACTGCTTCAGTGCCTTATGTCTTTTGGTAAAGAATTCATGTCAATGCAAGTGGAGTGTAATATTTTTGCTCTAGTTTGCACATGATATTCTTTAGCTTTCCTGTCTTTTGATGATTAAACAAATGAGCACTTTTAATTCCTTGAGTTCTGAACAAGAAAAAGAGTTCAAATAAATACACAATGTTTACAGACATTTTTATTCTTTTCTTCTGCTTGACATGTGGGTGTTATATATCACATAAATTTGTTTGATTTAACCGTAGATATAAAACAATACATCACATGCTCAAGAAGCTTGTTTTCAATTTTACATAATCATAATTACCCTTTTTGAGAAAACAGCTTTCCAATGTTACAAAGCCTTCTGCTGATCTAAAACCTTCCTTTCTGCACTGGCACAAGGGTAAGACTTTTATTACTGTACCACAGAAACCATGATCAGTGTAAGTGGTCGTGATGGTGATGAAATATAGTCAGAGGATGCAGGAAACTTCCAGTGCATCCTCTACAGGAGGAACACAGGCTTTTCCTTGTTATTGTCTCTGATGGGCAGTATGATTTGTTCAAAGATAACAACACCAGGTGGGAATTGCCCTAAGATAAGAACACCGGGTGGGAATTGCAGGAGGAACTGTCTGGACTCCTCGCATAATGAATGCATTCCAGAGGTGGGGGAGCTGTGGTGTAATTGACTTTAGTACACATCGTCCTGAAACAGGGTATAAAATACTGCTGGAGACTGGGCCGTCTGGGCAAACTGGGCTCCCAAGGTTGCAAGCAGCTTCCATATGGGTTCCTGGGGTCCTTCTCCCGGCCCTGGCAGGAAAGGCTGCCGGGTACGTCCAGACCGAAGATAGGGAGCACTCAGTTTAGAATGGGTGAGTAAAAGCGCTAAGATCCGGCCACATACAGAGATAAAATCCTATAGTAGCAAAAGGGATGCTTTTTGTTTTACATTCTGTAAGCCAAATACTGTAAACCTGTATGTTTCAAGATGAAGCTGTTTGTATTATAATCCTTTAGACTTGCTTGTATTATATACTGCATTGACAGTATTTAAATACTGTGTGAGCAATAATTGATTGTTGATGACAATCGTCATCCACATAATCAGTGTCATCTTCTGCCTAAGAATCTTCTCTCTGCTATGGCAGAATGGGTGACCAATGTATTCATTGTGGACAAGGAGAAGCCCAAAATCACATTGCTTTCTGACCCAATTATATAACCATTACTATTTTAGAGGCACTGTCAGTCACCCTGTTAAATCATCTGTTCATCCTTTCTCTTCCTCAGATGCCTGTGTAATCTTAGGAGACTAAGAGACCTGGCCTGGTAGAAAGATTTGTAGAAAAATTTCACCCCTATAAGCTATTTCTGACAAGAGGAACAGCTGGTTAAAAAAAATCTAGCCAGCATAATCAGAACTTCATCTCATATAAATAATAGTCCTTCACATTTCTTTATGAAATCTTCATGCCTTTGCAAATATTTCGTGTAAACATCTTCCTGTCTCCTAATGACCACTGGCACTTGGCTATGGCTTCCATATTATCCCTTTGAAAACCTGTTGTTAACACCGCTCTATGATAAATGAAAAGCTGTTGTGCTCCTGAGAGACTGCTGTATATATGTCAGTTGTGTCTTAGCCTGTTTAAATGTTTGTGGGAAGAAATTTTTTCCTGATTTTTAGCTGCCACCTGTAAAGAGGCCCTTATCCCTGCCAGAGGTGTCTAGACAGCACAGTAATTCATATGATAGTCACAATTGGAACTTCCTATTAAATTTGGAAGCCTCTGTCGGGTTCTCTGCACTTGACAGTACTTTTTCTGTCACTCTTGACTGACTTATGCTCTTTGCTTGACTGTGCAGGAGAAAGCTCAAGAAGACTTCTCTTCCACAGTCTGTGCATGAAGGTCAGCATGTTTGCATTCACTGCATTAAGGGGAAAAGGAGGTCGTTTGCATCTTTCTAAACAGCAGCTCTTGCCTCACTCTGTGCAGGCAAGCATAGAAGGGGACAAGTGGGGACTGTGCCGTGTCCTGTCCCAGGAGGTGACGCTGCAGAAGTGCTGAGGTGCATTTCCAGTAGCTGGAAGAAGGAATCTTTTGGTAGTTCATCTGGGGATTTCACTTAACACAATATCATGTTGTGATGTGGATGTGTATGTCATGATCACTTAAATGCCTCATTTTCTATAGACTGGGATGAGAGAAAACAAAATAGCAATGTCCTTCTTGGATCTGAATCCTGCCGAGCTGAAGGTTTGCATTCATATGCGGGAATGGACTTAACTTCCCTAGTTCTAATTTTCTTTATTAAGCCAAACAAGAAACTGTTGTGCTTCCAAAGTTGTCACACATCCCACCAGGCTGTGCCTGCCGTAGGTGTGACAGTTTGCAGGAGCTGGGTGGAGCAGGCAGCCGGAGTCTCTGCTCTCTTCAGCTGTCCGAGTTTAATCTGCTGCTGGACAGGAGTCAACGCCCTGAGGAGCTCCAACACCAGGAGCCTGACTCAGCCTTTTAGCTGATCCAGACTGATTGCAGCTGGAGACCCAGCAATCACTTTTTTTTCCTCCCCCAAGGGTACACACAGCACGTCAAGATGTTTGCTGGGATGAAGTCTCGGTTGGTTGTTCTGCAGTGACTCATTAAGAGATCCAGTGAATAATAAAGTCTAGAAAGAGCTCTTCTTCTGTATTAAAATATACTAAAACATGTCGGTTGATTATTACACCTTCTGTATATAAATAAGATAGAAGTGCATGTTAATAATGGAAATTAACTGTGTGATGTTTGCAGCAGAAGTACCCGATTTCAGGTTCTTAAATTGCACTGTGTGTTCCATTTTCATCTACAAGACTAGTTAAGTATACTTTAAGAATTTTGCCTGTTTCTCTCTGGAAGAGGTTTTTATCCCAGTTTAGCTTTGAAGACTTCTGTATATTTACTAGTTATATTAGGCAATATGTCAGATTGTGCTTTTCAAATTTTTGAATTCCTGCTCAGGCGTTAGAATTCTGCATTTGTAGAAATTTTTGGTACTATCTTCACTTTTCATTTTCTTATTCTCTAGAGGAAATTACTCAGGTTTGCACAATTTAATGTTATAATCTCAGAGCCTAGTAAACCTTGATATGCTTTTGTCCCTTCACAGTAAATTGTTTATAAACTTTGTAGCACCTTCAACTGCTATATTACTGAAGGGTGGACACAAAGACACTTTTCTGTTTTGAAACTTGTACACCACTTTGAGGTCTGGAAGCTTAGCGTATTTTGCCACTGAAATACACTGTCACTGATGCTGTTTTGTTTGCTCATCTTTGAAAGCTAATAGACTGGTTTAATTAATTGTCCAAGATTTCTCTAAAACAATGTCCTAATTCTTCCATTTAGCTGTGGCATATCATACACTGTTGTTATCTCCTCTACCAGATTTTTGCAACAAGTTGTTTTAAAACTATAATCTCGTTGAAGGGAAAAAAATGAAGTGCAGTTGAAAAGGCAGTTATGCCGAAAGATAAACACAGTAATATTACTTATCAAAACGAGTACAGTTTTTGCTTGCCTAATGAATGCAACATATAGCTTTCTCTATATATACAAAACCTGAGGAAAAAAAAAAAAAGCTTTATAACATATAAAGTATGCAACATTATTTCAGGCATAACTGTATTGGATATGTATCTAGGCCTGAGAGTGTAGATAACACAATATAAGTGCTTTGCCTGTCTAAACATGTTAAATAAATGAGCATTCACTATCGCATTCAAATACATTAGTAGATGTACTCGCATAGTTAATTTTCTTTTTAATGCACTACACGTGACATTTGCAGCACAGAGCTATAGTGTATCTTACTGTTTGATGAAAGTTCTTCCACTTCCCCCCCCTTTCCCCCTTTTAAACAAACCTTTATTTGAATAAGCCTTTATGAAACAGATCTTTGGCATATCTTCTTTTCAGGAAGTTCAGTCAGTGTAAGCAGAGATAAAGCAGTCATGTTACGAAGAATATTACATAAGGGAAGATTTTTTAGAGAAAGAGGGTGACAAACATAAGGGAGGGGAAGAACGCCCTTAAGAGGAAATCTGATTTCTTTCTTGCAGCTGTTTGGTTTTATTGAGCTGTGATTTGCTATTCAAAATAAAACAAAATTGGAGTGAAGAAAAAATTTACAGGAACTTTGGTGAAAATAATAATGAGAGAAGTGCTGCATAAGTTATTTTCACCTATATCTTGATTTTAATAGTGCTGTCTTTTTAGGAGGAAATATGAAAAATTAAAACGATTATTCATGCTGCAAATAGTTAGGAAAACTATCCCCAAATAATTTTTCTTGTACATGAAAATTCCTATGTTGGTAGAAGGAAGACAGTAAAAGTAAAAACTGTATGCCTCTTTACTATAAGAGGTAAATAATCCATCAAAATTTAAAAAAATAAGAAGTGTGAAGATAGCACTGATGTTTTAAATTCTGGAATTTGATATTGTCAATTAAATCTTTCTGCTTATATGTTTCCTGCAGGAGGGCAGCTTTGGTGCACTACGACCAAGGCCATCTCAGAGGGTGAAGAGCTGGTTGCCTTTGTTGTGGATTTTGACTCAAGGCTGCAAGCTGCCAGTCAGATGACTCTCACAGAAGGCATGTACCCCGCCCGCCTGCTGGACTCCATACAGCTGCTCCCGCAGCAAGCTGCAATGGCATCTATTTTGCCTACAGCTATTGTGAACAGTAAGTGAGGAATTCTGTTCTCTGCCTAATTTTTAAAACAGCAGTACTTTAAGGCGCATGTGAAGAGCTAATGCAATAATGGTGAATTCATGACCACAGAAACCACACCACAGCTCAAAGCCTGCTTTTGTTTCCTCCATCATCTCAGAGATAAAACAAGCAGGAAGAGGAGTCTGGCGAGAGTCTCACCCAGAGTACCTGACCTGCCCTCGTGTGGAGGTTCTGTGATCTGTTCCCAAAGGCAATAGGCTTAGAAACTGTTAAAAAAGTAGATGAGATAGGTCAGATAGCTCTCCAAGTCTAGCCTCTGCTGCTCAAGTAAGCTTGTTGCTTACTGCTGCTGTTTCTGGTAATAATTCATGATACTCAGAAAAAGAAAAGAAACACATCATTTTCAGCGATTGTTTAAAAATGCAGTGGAAACCATGATTTATAGCAGCTCTCATTTATTGCAGCATCTCCACTCAGTGTGGTTAATCAAGAATGTTTTTACATCTTCTGGTCATCAGTGGGCTCTGTCATGGACAAAATGGAGCATGCATTCAAGTGCTGTCCTTAGAGAGGAGGGACATGAGTGTTCCTGAACTGGGACAATTCAGCTCAAATTAAATTTTATATCTTTAACTTTTGCTTATTACTGCTGTTTACCTTTATACAGCCCTAGTTCCTCATCCTCCTTTCTAAGTAGTTTTCAAATATATTGGCCATTACCATGATCCTTGCCAGTCATCACTTAGATTACATATTCTTAGCTCTCAGCACTTTGCAAGTCCATTTAGACCCCATGGAGGAGCACTTCCTTGCCTTTCCTATGGTTTCCAAGTATTATAATTAGTTATAATGAAGTACTGAACATAATATTTCAGGTGTACGTTCACATGCAAGCACACGATCTGCCACTCAGACTCACACCTAATAACACTGAGTCTTGAGCAGTCACATCTTCAAGCTCTTTACACAGGAGTACTTAAAATATCCCTAGTAACATACTTCATTCCACATTTTCCTTTCAGTTTCTTTTTTCTTTTTAATTTCATATTTTCTGGTAAAGAATTTTGATAGCTACATATTTATTGTTAGCCTATTTTAAAAGAAAAAGCTTCAAATGTCCATATCATCCGAGTCTTCCAAGAGTGAGTTGGAGCAGCCTCATGCCCTTTAGCTAAGCACATTCATTTCTACCCCACCAGTGGGGCAGCTGTGAGCTGACATACCTGCTCATAGAACCAGCAATTAGGATTGCACAGGACCTTTCCACAATAAGGTGTCAGAAGCACCTAAAGTGCCATGAAGTTACCACCATTAGGGGAGGTCTGTGTTTATAGCCAACAGCTGAAAGGGAGCTGCTACAGTGGGTTACCTTGTCTGAAAGGGCACAGCTTGTTTCAGCTAAGATTGTTGTGTACATCTATGAGGCCAACTCTGGGCTTTGGCAGAGTAGTCAGATTTCTACAAGATCGCATTTCTGGAAACATCTTTTCTGTCAGCACTGACTTTTGCAGAGCCCTGGAAAGCCACACTGAATGTTAAGAAGAGTCTTTAAGTTTATGATGCATCAGCTCTTGCTGTACACATGTAGCAGCAACTCAGAGTAACTTTTGTGTTCTTGACTCCAGGAAGATGCTAAAATAGAAAATCTTACTGCTCAGAGCTTTCCATATCATTCCCGACTCTGTCTCTGATCATAAGGGGCTATTTTCACATTCCATTGTTGAGTTGGTAAAATTCAGTTTCTTCATTAAACTCTTGAACTAGAAGTCGTGCAACGAGCTGAATGAAGCTCTAGATTTGTAATGAGCCATCTCTTAAGCATTCTTTTTCTATATATCTGAAAAAAATAATCGATTTTGTAGGTTGTTTAGGGGATTTTTTTTAATGTTTCCTAATGTTTGCTAGCTGGAAAAACAAAATTAGAATATCACCTTTGGCTCATTCAGCTTGAGGTTGAATGTTTCATTATATGAAATTATCCATTGAAATAAATTGCAATATTTTGGTTTTAAGTGATTAAAACATTAGCTTCAAGTAGCTTTTATCTGTTTTGCATCTCTTTAGAGTAGTAATAGTTTCAGATCCCATCCCTATATGTTGTTCTCCCTGAAATTCCATCCATTCACCATGCAAAACTCCTCAAATACATTTCCTCTGCTTGGCACATAATTGGAGTCACATATTCACCATGCGTAACTGCAGCTACAGACTGTCCAGGCCATCTAACCCATAGGAAATAAAGATGGCTGGAAGTCAAATTCATTAAGATAATCAGAAAGTTCAATTCTGTGATGGAATGCAGTCAAATGAATTTAAATAGGACATGTTGCCGATATCAGAATTTCCTATTAGTAATTTTGGACTTTCTTTTTTGTGGACACATCAATAGTTCAACTTTTTTAAGCCATCTGAGGCCAAAACCAAATGTTGAAATGTCACCTTTATAGCAAAGTGAACATTTCAAATGATGCAACCTGTATCAGTAATGTTTTAATAGTGGTGTATGTTGGAATACTAACTGCTCTATTAAATGCTTGTGTCTGAAATCCATGCACAATTATTCAGTGGCAAAGGGAAAAATAGAAATTGGTAGTGGTATAAATATTTTTTTTGCAAATTCATGAGCAGAAAAATAGACAAGCATTAGCATTGCAATCAGAGAAGCAAACTAAGCAATGTAAATTTTGGCTGCATTTGTAAATATTTAGCAAATAAAAGACTCATCCATGTCAATGTGTTGGAGTCTTCAACTTTGTTCACCCAGAGGAATTGAAACAGAGCAGTTGTCCTATACACATCAATATTTGAAATTAAACATAAATTGTCATGAATGATAATGAATTACATCATCAGCTACACATGCCATGTTTTCAGAGCAGCCAGCCATTCTTCAAAATTAAGTTAATTACAGTCTCTAGCAGCTCTTTGCATTCTGAAGTCGGGGGGAGATTTGATGTTGATCAAGATGTGTTTTGATGTTGACTGCAATTGCCTGATCCTGAGGTCAGCTGTCACAGTCTGGAGTTACTCATAATTTTATCCTCTCTTAATCTCTAGAACAGTAGAGTGGTCTCCAGGCCAGATGCAGAGGATGGTCCTATGCCTATGATAATTCCTGAAATGTATGCACAAGTGTTCATTGACTTAAGCCAAAGGTTTAGAAGGGGATGTTCTCATGATTTAGAAATACAAACAAGTTCCAGTTCTCAAGTGTGAATCCTGTCATAGTTTAGTTTTCTAGTGTAGATGTGCCCCAAAAGATCAGAGATTTCTTCTTGTTCGTAGTGATAGCATGGAAGGTTCACCTTTCAGAAATATCAAATAGTTTTTTGTCTTTCTGAGATGTATTCACAACAGGTACTGTGTAGGTGTCCTTGACAGGGTATTAATACACAAATAACTGCCCACTTCATGTAAGTATACCATATGCATCATTACTCTTTACATTAGTAATGTAGCCTCTAATGCACACCAAAAATACACATCCTTCAGAATGATCTGCAGTTAGCACTCAAAAATTCCAAGGCCCAAAGCTGGAAAGTCTTCTGCACACAGAAAAAAAATTGAAAGATGTCACCTAATGAGTACTGATGTATTGGAAATACAGCATAATTCCTGAATTAGTATTGCTTGTTCCCAACAAACATTTAATTTAATTTAATTTTTAAAAATAATTATGTGCCAAAAGCTTCTGGCAGTTTTCTTTGTGCAACTTTTTCTTAAAAATAGCCTTTTGAAAGAAACAACTGTCTTACATGTTAGTCTCTCATCTGCAAGTTACATTTTAATAAACCCATTTCTCTGGTTTCAATGTTTTATTAAATAAGTGTTTTTTAATGGGGAAGGGAATAATCTAGCTGTGTTATTTGGTTGGCACCAAGTTAACTGTGGCTAACCTGCACCTGCTTATACTTGCTTGTAGAGGACATATTCCCTTGCAAATCCTGTGGCATTTGGTACCGAAGTGAGCGGAACCTGCAGGCCCATCTCATGTATTACTGCAGTGGGAGGCAAAGAGAGGGGCCACAGCTGTCAGAGGAGAGTGAGGACAGTGCTCAGCAGATATCCAGTGTCTGCCCCTTTCCACAGTGTACCAAAAGCTTTTCAAACGCAAGAGCTCTGGAAATGCACCTAAATTCTCACAGTGGTAAGTATCACATATTTTTGTGTATCATCTTCTAGATACAACTTCTTGAAGAATTATTCACTATAGGCATTCAGTAGATCAATGTCTTGCCAAATATATGCAAGCTTTGCATGTAGATAATACCAAAATGTCAACAGTTTCTGACCTGTGTTCTACACCAAGTACCTCTCCCAGGTAACCTCTGTCATTTGTCCTATCTACTAATCCTCATTTGAATGTTGTCTCTCTCTTAATGTGTGTATACACACATGCAGGCAGCATTTCTTTATTGGTGAAGCTATGATCAGGAATCCAGACACAATCAATTACTGCAGGATTCCAGCTACCAAACATACACACAACCACAGAACATGTCCTTCTGAAGTGCCCTAGTGAAGGCTTCTTGGGCAGAAGGCTTTAAGATTCATGGTCCAAAACTCTCTGCTGTTACCAGGACACTTGTTTCACAAAAAACTTCTTTTTTGATAGAAATATTCTTTTCCCTTTTTATAAATATCAAATGGGGATAGTATTTTAGAATCACAAAAACAAAGAATCATAGGTTTGTCTAGGTAGGAAAAGACCTTTGAAATCATCAAGTCCACTTCTAAACCATGTCCCTAGGCACATCAGCATGGTGTAGACAACCAATTTTGAATTGAATTAGGGCTGGAAACACAAGTTAAGAGTTTGCAGGACATTTTGCATTGGAGTTTTCAGTAGCAGAGAACACCTACAAATAAGAAAGACTGCAGTGTCAATGTGTGGTGTGGTTGCTGTCTGTTGTACAGAGCTGCTTCTGAGAAAGAAGCAAGGGCTCTGCAGGTGTCCCTGATCCTCCTGTTAAATGAACGGAGTCTAAAGGACATTTATGGGTGCTTTAGTCACTGAAGAAAGCCTTATTTGGCTGCAGTGTAAAAACTCTTGAGGCATGTGTAGTCTACTCTGGATTTGGTGAAGTGAAAATGTTCCTCTGATACTTGGATAGCAATTGAAAATCTAAAAGGAAACATACTGCCTTGGAGGAGTTTGGTACCTCCCAGGAAAGGACTAGAAGAGTGCTGAGTGAAAACTTCTTTATGTAGACAACACAGAAAACTCTTAGCCATTCATTTAGAGGTCAGATATTTTTGTGCTTCAAGATCTTATCAAGCTATTGCCATTTTCTGTTCGTTGCCTACAAAATATTTAACTGTTCAGTAAACCAGCAGAACCGTAAGCTACAACTGCTTCAATAAGATCAGGTGAAGGCAGCCCAGTGTGTCTTACAGCCTGGTAATTATAACCAGATACTCTGGGAAGATTACAGATTAATTTCTCCCCATGCAGAGGAAAACTGAAATTCTAACCATTGTGCAAAAGATTTGCTTCAATTATTTGCATTTATTGACACACCATTGGTTTAGGTGTTGAGGGTTTTGAGCCATGAGCTGTGAGTCACCATGTCTGCATGTAATCTAGAGATGTGTGTTCCTTGAAAGACAAAGTTCTGAGATTGTGGTGAATTTCCAGTAAGAATCTTTGGTTATTTCTTATAAGAGAGGTATTCTTTTTAGTCACAAACCAGTCTATTCAATCATTCTTGCTATTTTTCCTATCCTGTCAGTCTTTGTTTTTCTATACAGATCATCACAAGTTATAACACCTGCAGTAGGAATGAAACATTCCTTTCCCAAATGTCTTATAATCTTTGGAAGCCCTGTGTTCAGCTGCTGTTACTGTTCCCACTGGAGGCTCTAGCAGACCTACACCACTGGAAAGCAGAGCCCTGACTGAAATGCAAAGTCCCATAGAGACTGCTGTCACTGTACCCCATGATGGGGAAGCATGCAAAGCACCATCTCATGTCAGTGGTGGAGCTAAAGCCTCATGTGGCCTCCTGGGTAAAGAGAGCCTGATGGGAAGCAAGTGCTGTGCCTCTCCTTGGCTCCCTTCTGGCCTCTGAGGCCAAGAGCAGGTCAAATTTCAAATGCCATTCACAGCTTGGGGGGGGTCACTGATGCTGGGGAAGAAGGGAGGACCTCCAGGTACAACAGTGTGACTACCCACAGAGTGAACTACAGTATTCTTACTATTTTATATTGTCCAACTACCTACTTCACTACTAACCACCTACCACCTACTACTAACCACTAACCAACTACCACACACCTACTTCACCTGACTGAGGTGTGGTATATGTGTATATGTGTAGGCAGAACAAATACTTGTTTTAAATTCTGAATAACGTCCCTATCAATATTTTTGCAGCTTTTATTGTCTAAAAGGTAACTAGAATCCATGTTGTTGCAATGGAGAAACTTGGCCTTATCTCTTTTTAAAGCATTTTCAATTTCAAAATGCCATGAAAAATGGAGTTTTTTGTTTAATCGGTGATTGTAAGATGTCTTTGAATGTACTGTTCTTGATAATGTAGTAGTGATTTCATGAGGAAAAGGTGTCATATTATAGCAGTTGTTGCCAATGGCCATTATATGAGAAAGATAAAATGTCAGTGAAGCCATGTCTTACTGCTCCTCCTCCCTTCACAAGGGACACAGCTCATCAGTCCTTTCTGATGAGGACAGATCTGTAACCTGTTCCCAAACTACAGCCAACCCATGCAAGCAAAGAGCTGAGCATCAGTAATACTCAAAATGCTACTTCTTTTTTGTCTGTGGCTTTCAGGCATGCTGAGGGCTGTACCTCAAGTTATATCATAACCTTGAACCTCTTGACCTTGTTGTGCTTTCTGTGCATTGAAAATTTCCAGTGACTGTGTATGGGGAACATTATGTGTCCCTTTAGTTGTAACTGCAATTTCTGAGACCTTTTCATTTAGAATAAGTCCAGTCTATTTTTATCCTTTCCCTTGTTCCTTCTCTCCCTGCAGTTCTGATGAATGCATGCAAATACTAGGGCTCTCCAAAGCAGTGCAAAAGTCTGTGAATAACATAGCAGTTTCAGGAAAAACAATTCAAGTACTTTTAGGGTGACTAATACTATCTCATTAGAGGAACATTAGTCATTCTCGCTGTATTTGTACCTTCTGTGCAGCTGATTTCATGAGGGGCAAAATGGTCACTTCATTTTGTATTTTTCTTGTCTTTTCTGTAGGAGTGAAAATGGAAGAATTTCTCCCACCCGGTGCTAGTCTGAAATGCACAGTTTGTACTTACACCGCAGACTCAGTGATTAACTTTCATCAGCACCTGTTCTCGCATCTTACTCAAGCTGCCTTTAGATGCAATCACTGCCATTTTGGCTTCCAAACTCAGAGGGAGCTACTGCAGCACCAAGAGTTACATGTCTCTGGCAACAAAATTCAGAGAGAAAGTGACATTGAACACTCTCCAAGTGGAAATGAAGAAGGTTTGCAGCCAACAACGGACCTGTTGAGCAGAAATGATGTTCCCCAGAGCCAAAAGACCATGCAGACTAAAGATGCAAGTTCTGATACAGAGCTTGATAAATGTGAAAAAAAGGCTCCACTTTTCCTTCCAAACCAGAGGCCAGAAACCCAGCCTGCCGCAAATAAGCAGAGTTTTTCATATACCAAAATAAAATCTGAACCATCCAGTCCAAGGCTTGCTTCATCGCCAGTTCAGCCTAGTATTGGTCCTTCTTTCCCAATGGGACCTTTTCTTTCCCAGTTTGCTTTTCCCCAAGATATCACTGTGGTTCCTCAGGCTTCAGAGATATTAGCCAAAATGTCAGAACTGGTCCATCGAAGGCTGAGGCATGGAAGTAGCAATTATCCGCCTGTAATTTACAGTCCTTTGATGCCTAAAGGGGCTACATGTTTTGAATGCAACATAACATTCAATAATTTGGACAACTATTTGGTACACAAAAAGCATTACTGCAGCAGCCGATGGCAGCAGATGGCAAAGTCACCAGATTTTTCCAGTGTTCCAGAAAAAATTCCTGAAGCTGTAAGTCCCAGTAATGGTCAGAGCTCTATAAACATCCTGAATCCAGCTCCTCACACATCAGATCCAGAAAATCAACTTCTGCAGACATCTTGCTTAAACTCTTCCAATGTTTTAGATTTGATTGGGCCAAACAATAAAAGTCATGAAAAAGACTTTACTGCACAGCCTAAGAAGCTGTCAGCTGCAAGCAACGGTGATGAGAAGATAAATGGAAAACCTTCTGATGTGAAGAATCCCAACACTCCCTTAGTAGAGGGGGAGAGTGACCCTAACAAGACCACATGTGAAGCTTGTAATATTACTTTCAGCAGACATGAGACCTACATGGTCCACAAGCAGTATTACTGTGCCACTCGCCACGATCCCCCGCTGAAGAGGTCCGCTTCCAACAAAGTGCCTGCCATGCAGAGAACAATGCGTACTCGGAAGCGAAGGAAGATGTATGAGATGTGCTTACCAGAGCAAGAGCAGAGGCCTCCACTAGTTCAACAGCGATTTCTAGAAGTTGCTAATCTTGGCAATCCTTGTACATCAACTCAAGAGTCAACAGAGGGCCTTGCAGAATGTTACCACCCACGATGTGATATCTTTCCGGGAATAGTCTCGAAGCATCTGGAAACGTCACTGTCTATTAACAAGTGTGTTCCTGTTTCAAAGTGTGATACTGCCCACTCCACCGTGTCTTGCTTGGAGATGGATGTGCCAATAGATCTCAGTAAAAAATGCTTACCCCCATCAGAGAGGACATCCGCTTCTCCCAAAAGGCTGCTGGATTACCATGAGTGCACCGTATGCAAGATCAGTTTTAACAAGGTAGAGAACTACCTGGCTCACAAGCAGAATTTTTGTCCTGTCACTGCTCATCAGCGTAGTGACCTGGGACAACTTGACAGTAAGGTGTTTCAAAACCCAGAAAGTGAAAGAAACAGCCCAGATGTCAGTTATGAGAGAAGCATAATCAAATGTGAGAAAAACGGAAACTCAAAACAGTCCTCTCCTAATGGAAACTTATTTTCCACACACTTAGCAACACTTCAAGGACTGAAAGTCTTTAGTGAAGCTGCCCAGCTTATTGCTACAAAAGAAGAAAACAAACATTTATTTCTTCCACAATGCCTTTACCCTGGAGCAATAAAGAAAGCTAAAGGAGCAGATCAGCTTTCTCCATATTATGGAATAAAGCCAAGTGATTACATTTCTGGTTCTCTCGTCATTCATAATACTGATTTAGATCAAAGCACAAATACGGAAAGTGAATCTCCTAAAGGCCAGGCGCCTTCGAATGGATGTGCTGTGCAGAAGAAAGAATCTCTTCCACTACTGCCGAAAAACCGAGGCATGGTAATAGTTAATGGGGGACTAAAACAGGAGGAAAGGCCTGCTGCTAACCCACAGCAAGAGAACATTTCCCAGAACCCTCCACATGAAGATGGGCACAAGTCTCCTTCTTGGATCTCTGAGAATCCCTTAGCTACAAATGAAAATGTCTCTCCAGCAATTCCTACAGCAGAGGAACAGTTGTCTAGTATAGCTAAAGGTGTGAATGGCTCTACCCAGGCTCCAACCAGTGGAAAGTATTGCCGACTGTGTGACATCCAGTTCAACAATCTCTCAAACTTTATAACTCATAAGAAGTTTTATTGCTCTTCACATGCAGCAGAACATGTTAAATGAAATAATCGGTCACCTTTGGTACATGTGTTTAGCATATTGTTCCATACAGTTTAAAGAAAGCTGTTTGAATTACATCTGGACAATCAGGAGATTTCACTATTGCTGAGTTGAAGACTTAAAGGTGTAATTTCATTACAGTCCATTAGTAAAGTGTATTATTGGTGCCATTTTCAAAAATATTAATTTATTTTACCAGCAGTATTCATAGCTGTAGTTATGTTATTTTTTATTTAAAAACTTTATATTAAAGTCATTTGTAATGTTATTGTATAGTTATTGTGTAGCACATATGGTTTGCACTGTATAGTAGATTTTAAAGAAAATAGTCGCAAACAATACAGAAAAGCATTTTAGAAATAGCTTCAAAAGCACTTGTGTATCCTGATTTTTTTTCTTATATGCTGTTGCAGATATATGTATATGCTAAAATATAACTTGCAAAGAAGTTTCAACTATGCTGTAAAGTTCGCCTTAAAATTTCAATTCTTTTGAACAATTGGGCTCAGTTTGCACTTTATATTTTAGCACATACAGTACCTTAGTCATTAGGCTTTGCATTTGTATGTAGCAGTATGTTTCTGTCCACTTTCTTAATCTGAAACGTACGTTAAATGAAGATGGCATTTTCTTTCTTGTATAGTACTTGTATTTTCTTTCGCTGATGCATCTCTGTCTCAATTTTTAAACCTTTGCTGTTAAATGCAATACTTTATAAAGAATGAACAAAATTACTGGAAGCAGTATTGTAAGAAATGAGGTCATATCAATCAGTTTTATCTTTTGAAAGGCACAGTCTAAAACAAAACCCTAAACTCAATGCTGCAATTATGAATCTAATTCATATATAAGATATATTTAAATATAAGAGTAGCAATACTGCAACTGGTGATCAAAAAGATAATGTTCTACTTCTGATAGAAATAATTTCTCAACAAATGTTGTTACTATGCATGTATATGGATGGAATAAAATTCCAGATAATTGGAGAAGTTTGGCAGTAATTTCTTTAATTTTTTTTAATTTTGTTTTTCAAGGTAGATTTAGAGCTCACAAACTGTGCAGAAGCTCTTAGGAATGAGCCAACATTGCCTTCTCTTCAGTGGAAGCAAAGTGTTCAAAGAGACAGTGACTACAAAGGATGCCTCCATTTCCAGGGAGTCCCCACTGACAAGTCACTAGTGCAACTGGGTCTAAGACTGCCTGGTGAACCAAAACTTTAAATCTGAGGGTCTGAAACCAGGAAGGCTGTTCTCTTTACTAGTGCCAAGGAACACATACTTCCCTGGCAGTATCTCTATATGTCAAAATCAGTGGAACAATCTCCTTCCTAATACCTCTGGTATGATTTTTCATCAGTTCAGTGTTCTTATATAAGAAACAAGATCGAATGATCTCTTGACTTAAGAGAACAGCAGTTTGTTCCACTAATTCAGTATCGAAATATTAGGCAATAATTTATGTTATATTAAAATCTGAACTAATGCACAATTAGTACCCTTCACTTGCAATTGTTTGGTCTCCTGTACACTGTTTTCATTAAAAAAACCTGAGATTATAGAAATGACCTATTGATGCATTTTCATCCTACAAATTTGAGAGCAAAACCATGATCTGAATAGTTACATAAACACTTGTATTTTAATTCCTGTATCAGCCAAAGAAACAACTCAGAACAAGCTACATAAAAGGATGGTATTTCAGCAGCCAGTTGTAGTCTAGCATAAGAGCATACAATGCCACTACCTTTCAGCAACCCCATTTCTGTGTAGTTTGGACTGAAACTGTTCTTTTTTTATTATTATTTTTAAGTGTAGCTACATGTAACCCAGTAGTGAAAATAATAAACTTCAAAACTATAGTTAATTCTGTTGGTTAGCTGGGGTTTAAATACAGGTCAAGATTGCTTAAAATTGTACTAATTCTCACTTGCAACAAAGATAGCAGATGCATACATTCATTTCAGTAGGCCCAAAGTTGGTCCTATAGCAACACACCAATACAACACACTAATAGATAATATCACTTGAGAAGGAGAAAAAGCATTACAATCACAGGGATAATAAAACAGGCAAAATGTTCATGATTATCAATTTAACATTCATAAGGAAATACACCAGAATATCTAAGACTTTACAATATTTGAAATAGATAGTGAATTTTGGTGGTTTTGGTGGCAAACATTATTTTGAAGATTATCTATCTTGCAATACTGTGTTAAAGAACTCGGTGATTACATCTGGATTGAAATAACCTAATTCTGAAAGATCCACATGCCTAGATGAAAACTTTTTAGGTGCAGCTAGTCACAAGGCCATAGATTGTGTAATTTACAATTGCAGAGCTCTAAGGGTGTGTTTAGACAGTGAGAAAGTAAAGGAAAATATCAGGGTTAAAGCAAATACCTAGTTGAGAATTGATGCTGAAAAAGGAAAGCCTTATCACAAATGGTTTCTGATCCAGAAATGCTGAGGGTTCCTGATATATTCCAGAAGTAAATTAAAGCCTTCCATGCTTCATTATATTCTTCCCACTGGCTAGTCCAATTTCTTTCACACAACAAAATAATTCTGCTAACGTTTTCTCTTTATAAATCACCTATTTGGTTGACTGCTTCCATTTTTACAAGCTCAAAATAAGCACAACCTGTTCATTTGTGGGTGCAGAGTTACTCAATTGTAAACACATTTCATATATTTTAGTCCCTTCACAGGAACAACTGGCAACTGACACTACTAAACCCCTAAGTTATACCATCACACTCTGTGAAAGTAAAACTGTACACAAGCTATGTGGGTAGCAGATACAAACATTTTAATTTTTTAGTACATTTTTAAAAACAGAAAGCATTTTAAAAAAAACTGCTCGCAGAGCTGGGTTCAGGAACCATATTTTTCCATAATTTTATAGACTGTTTTCAATTGTTTTAGTTCTTTATTGCACTCATTTTTAAATTTGCCCATGTGAAATGAGCACATAAACACTTCAAACAGCCAGAAATCTCTCTCCTGTCTCTTAAACCAGCTTGCACAATACTGGCCTAATCCCATCTTGGGGCTTAAATCACATCTACATTTAAGTCATAACTATTGTTTACAGAAATAAACTACTTAAATCTGTTTTCTGACTAAGGGGTTATTTGTGTTCTCTTCAGATTACATCTACATGTTTGTCCAAATTGATAAACTGCCTATTGCTAAAAGCTTGTCTTCCAAAGTTCTTTTAGGTTTTTGTAGGGTTATTAATTTTTTATCAAATCACCTGTGCAAAACGAGTCCATTCTTAGTTAGTCTTTGACACCTGGAATTCAGCAGGAAGCAGAGCACCTCAATTAAATGGTTTGGATTCCTTAATCCTTGTCAGCTGGTGTCAGTAAATAAATCTTTGGGGCTATGGGGTGAACAGCTTAGCAAAAGGCATTAAAATATTTCCTGGGTTTCTGTTAAAAAAAATAGAATTGCTGCACATGAAGACTTAATAATTAGAAGAGCTGGTTCCTGCCTAACTCCCTCTGTACTGATTGCCTGGCAGGTTATACATTCAACTTTTGTGCTTTTTAAGGAAGATTTCCATATTCACAAAACATCCCATCCACAGGCATTGCTCAGAACTAATTTGGCCACATCCCTGTCTACCTTATTTATTTGTTTCTACACCAAAATTCAGACTCTGAAAGGCAGTTGTGACTCCTCATTCATACAACATTCATACCACAATCTTCACAGTTTTCACAGAGCAATGATGATTTTTTTTTCTTTGTAAAAAAAACCAGTAAGGCATATTGCTACAAGATGATGTCTACTTGTCTTGAAGTAATTGTAATAATGTTAGGATTCTGATGACATCTTCTCATTATTACAAATGATCATAAAACTACATCATAGATATCTACTGTGGATCCACACTCCTAACTTTCTGAGTTTCTCATTTCTACTAGGTAACTATTGACTATGTTCGCTGTCTACACTGTCTGCAAGAATGTAGAAGTCATATCCTAAACATAATAGAGAGTATGAATAAGGTGATTTCTCCATTATACCATAAGCACTGCACCAATGGCAAGTGGAGAAGGAAAAAAAATAAAAAATAAAAAACCTGATGTAGAAATTAAAAAAAATAAATCAATTCCAGCTCCACTGTCAAGATGATGTGTAGGTGGGCTAATTCACTTGCTGAATATACATACATAAGCTGTGAACCAGAAGCCACTGTAAAACAGTGGAACTGAGATGGAGCTCTGAGCAGCCTGGAAAACCTGACTTACAGAAAATTCCATGGTGAGTATAATGGAAAAAGGGTGGTGTGGGATAATCTTATTGAGGGGCAAAGAAGATAAGGAAAAAGTGAAGTGGCACTTTGTTAATGCCAAGAGTGTAGTATGGTGCACTGAAGGCCGCAGAAGGCAGCAGTTACAAGGCATCAGCCCCATAAAAATGCTACATGTCCCTGTGGGCCTGTTGAGAGTGGCTAAAATACTGATGAGACAAAATCCTTGGAAGATCACTCCCAAATTCTAAATATTGTTAATGGAAAGGTTCTGGCTTCTGGTGTTTTCCTTTTCCCCAAGGCTGACAATGGGAAAGAGAACCACAACTCTTTTGACCTTCCAGATCACCTTCAGAGCTGGTGTGTTGTGCTGACATGAACTGTGCATCCAGAACAGATATGTGTGACCCTCTTGTAAATTAGAGTCAAGCCAGATAGCCAGGCTTCAGATGTGTTAGCCTGGGAGCCCACCTGGTCCCTCCACTGACGTCTTCCACAGAGGTCACTGACAGTGCTTCAAATCCAGACCACTTAGAGCCATAGAAGAATGAACTAAAATAGTGGTGTCACTTATGTATGGAGTTAAACAGAGCACGGGGAAGGGAGGTGGGCAGGAAATCTGCAGTCACACAATTAAAGCTTCTTCATAATACAGCAGCATGGGATGAATTCATTGTGACTAGAAGGATGAGACAAGGGTTTTATGCTGGGGTGAACAGAAAATTGTGATTCTGACAAATTCAACTTTCAAATACATGGATTTTTTTACTATATACACAAACACATATGTAAAACATCACAGGGAAATGAGAATGTTCAAAACAGGGAGACAACATAAACTAGATTAAGAGATTAGATCAAGCACCTCTATAAAGTGATTAGAAAAATCCTTTGGTGCAGCAGTAATAGCCTAACTCTTTAATCTTCATTGCATAGGTAAACTGGCATCTTTTGGTGCATGGAGGGTGATAATACGCTCATTCGTATTCAAATTTAAATGTCCCGGCAAAATTGCTCTTCTCTCTTTCTGCTCTCAGCTGCTTTGTGCAGGTCCCAAGCCTGGAGAAAGGAATTTGTTCCTACATACCAACTCAGTGACCCTCACACTAATTTTTTTCCACCTGACAACTTTGTCAGTTTTGTAACAGTCTTGTTTTGTTTTCTATTGTGGAGTTTTTTTTAACTCTTTACCAACCTTGAATGAGTCACAGTAGAGGCAGGTGAAAGGATTCACCTGAGCTGGTGTATTGGAGAATGTGTTAATCTCCGTCATTGGAGACATGAAGTCACTTGAGTCACTCATGAAAAGGAGGTTTACACGCTCAGCTGTTCTCATCTCCTGCAGCTGAGTCCCCTTGTTAGGACTTTTATATCCCTCATCACATCTTGAAACACACTGCTTTCTAGTGCTAAACAGCATAACCCAGAGACTCAGTCAGTTGTCTGCTTTGAATTAAAAATATTTTGCTGTAGGAAATCTCCATGAAAGAATGTGTTGGACATGCACTTTGAATGGCACTATGGGTAATTTTAATACTCACTGTTGATATAATAAGCTAGTATTCATCCCCAAAGTGGGGGCTGTGCTCCTCGGTAGTAAAGGTCCAGTCATTTCTTA